AATCAGCAGTGCAGGAAGCATCCTGAGCCAAGAAAGCAACACTTGGCGCCCAATGGGAGGCGTAGCCGTTCGGATGATCTTGTTGCTTTGAAAGGCCAAGTAGGCTTCATATCCACACCACAACCTCGTGTAGACACTTTTATGCCGGTTGGGCACCACCAGCATGTATTTGGAACTCTGCAAAGCAAGGGCAAAAGGAGATGATGACGGGGACTGAAGCAAAGCACCAATATCAAGATTCTGTGGATTGGCCAGCATGCAGCACCAAGCATGACGTGCACGCCAAGGCCAGGATGTCAACACCTTCTTGGTAAACTCAAACACACCTTCCTGCCACGCATGTGTGATAAACAAGTCGCAGTCAAGTCCTTCAGGATTCATCATCAACGCCCAGCTCATTTTGCCAGCAGCAGCCGTCACTGGCTTGGTGTAGTGTTCGTTCACTGCATAAATGCTTGGCCCATTCTCCGAAAAGCTCTCCTGAAAGGTTTGGCCCTCTTGGATGGCTCTATGGATATCAGATTGGAAGAACTTGAGATCAGCGAAGGTGATGCACCACCTTGCTGGGTTCACAGTTTCATGCAGTTCAACAGCTCGATGGGTCGGAAGGCGCTTCCTCGTCCGATAGGGAGCCAAGCTCTCCGAGCGTCGAAATGAGGTCAGCATCCGCAAGGAGTTACCCGCCAAAAACAGAGATAGAAACCGCCCCAACGCTGTTTGGAATGGAAGTTGTTCTCGTATACTGAGGGTGGTCTGTGAATTTCTATACTTTGTTTTTTGTAGTATCAATCCATATGAGACTGTTCATACTTCTTCGAATGGCTTGAGCCACCGAAAAAACCGGCCAGACCAGCGGAGGACTTTTCGCGCTGGCAGTCCAGTCCGGAAGCGTCCAATTCTGTTGGTTGCGCTGCATCGTCCAATGCCAGGTCCGGTCCGTCCGGACTGGGGTCATTGCTGCCGCCCCTCACGACCTCTTCGGACAGGCCGAAGAGTCCGAGTCCCTTGGACGACAGCCTCGGACGACTTCAGCTGTTGGGGACGGGAAATCCCTGGGCTTCCAACAAGCAGCTGAGAACGCATGGTGTTCACCGAAGAACCATTTCTTGTTCGGAATTTACACGACAAACAACAGGTCAACCTTTTGTCCGTTAAAGGTCTTGGAAGACTAGGGACATGTGACACCCGGGAAAATCAACATGGAACCTGAAAATGAATCTTTGGAAGACGATTTTCCTCTACAACCCAGTTCAGGTTCTATGTGGGTTTCTTCCGTGTCCGATCAGGGCTCCCCGGTCCCCTAAAAATGGGACATGACCCATCCCATATAGAGTCCAGGTACCTCTTGAGGATGGTCTTGGAGGTGAAAGTACTGCCTGAGAATGGTCGAACTGGGCCAAAGGACATCCTCATGATGGTCATGGACCCTGTACAACTTTACCCATTTTCCGAGGTGGCTCAAAGCTATAATTACTGGTCCAGAGTCCAGAGTCCGCTCTTCTCCTTTTTTAGGTCAATGAACATCAAGCACTGCCAGAACGGACCCAGTACCTGTAACTAAGGAGTGACCGCCTTTCAACAGCAAAACCTTGGACGATTTGCGTTGTCCTCAGGTCAAGATGTCCTCAACTGCCGGTCCCTCAGCAGGCAGGTCATGAACGGGTCCCCTCCCCTCGGCAGAAGCAGCCGCTGCTAAACCGGACAGTCTGCTGCGATTCTGCGCAGCTATAGCGAATGATTCACCTGCTTCCAGACATGAACCCCGCCGAACTCATCAGCAAAGGAATCAAAACAGGAACACAGGAATAGAACAGTTAACAACATGACACCCACCATTGCGAAAAAAGAAATGCACGGCAATACACCAGATCTCCCGTGATCTCCGGCATTTCTGCAGGACTCAACATCTCTCCATCCATGATAGAACACTATCGCACCCAAAACATGAAATCTTAACCAGAAGTGTATACACTGGTGCACTTGTTCATTCATTGCAGGGTTCCCAGCATTGCTGGGTTATCCAATACGGCAAGGCGAAGGGGGTAACACCTTTCATGCGCCCAAGTTCTGAAAGAATCGAGACTCCCCGCCTTTGCGGAACCGCAAAGGCACTCTTTCCACACCTGCGAGGCTTTGATGCTCGACCCAGCGTGGCTCCACGTCCCGACCAGCGGCGACGATTCGCCAGCAAACTGGACGATTCGCGCTGGGCCGGCCGAAATCGGCCAGGGAAAAGCTGGCCACCCGAAGGTCGCCCGGGTCGCCCGAACTCTTGTCCGAAAAAGTGTGTTGCAAGTTGCAACCTGTGTCTTTCCACCAAGAGTTACGACTTGCCTTCACCAGAAACTTGAGCACGCCATGCCACATGACATCATGCCACATCAGCTGTGAGTAGAACTTTCCGATGATGCATCTGACATCACCTCGCTGCTGGATGACTCTTCCAAACATTCCGCCGAGACGAGCTCACTCATGGATCTCCGAGACAACGGCCATTCAACGGGACCCACGACCCGTGACAAGAAGAATTGAGCCAAGAGCCTTCCACCAGGTAACCTGCGGAAATGGGACACGTAGGCATGGGAGACCAATAACGTTTGGGAACACCTGGAACACGTATCCCCTTGAAAATTACGAGGGGGTCGTTCGTTTCGGTGAAGGTGGTCATACCTGACCGGAGGTAGGACTGGAGGCCAAACGGGGTGATGAATTTTTTGGACAACTTGTTTGGATGTTTCTTGGCAAAGCGTGAAACATGAGGTTGTTTACAATGTCTTGGGCACGAGCAACTTCAATGTCCCACGGATGCCCAAGGCAGCAAAGAAAAGCACCAGAAAGAACGAGACGTGGAACAAAGTCACCAAAGAAAAAAACATAGCTTCATTCCCCAAAGGTCCCAGCTCCACCAGGCAAAAATAGAAGACCGTCACAATCTTGGCCATCACGTTCAGCATGAAGCACCGTTCATCAATGGAGCGTCTAAAAAGCAAACACAAGAAGGCAAGCCTAGCAAGGATTGATGCGGTTTCCATGGATGCCATAAAGTTATAGATTCCTGCAATTGGATGACCTAGTTCATGAAGCAAATAGACATATCGCCACACAAGCCAACAACCTAGCATCAACAAAGGCCCAAGCACAAGCACAGGGATGGCTAATTGAACGAATCCGGCATGCCGAAGTTCGACTCCCTGCAAATGTGCATCTCGAAGTGCATCCGATGTCATGCCAGCCTTCAACAAAACTTGGATCACTTTGTCCACTTCATCAACCTGATCACCAATCTCATCCCGAATGTTCACCTCATCCTGAATTTCGGAGCATGATGCATGACGAATGGAACCTTCATACTGATGTCGTAATTCTTCCCCCTCTTGTCTTTCTGCCTGGCAGTTCATTCGGTCAACTTCAGCAAGTAAGAAATAAAGGACAATGCAAGCACGATTTCCATACTTCATAAAGGCCATCAAGGCAATCCTCCCAACAAACAGGTACCGGAAGCCACTCACAAGTAACTCACCTCCGATGATAGCGGCCACAGTACTGCCCAAACCCACGTGGTTGACAATCAACCACAGCCGCATCTGTCCACAGTTTTGACTCATAAGGCTCGCAAAAAGCGCAGTCATTCCTCACTTGCTTGCCTTAACCCGGAAACAGCTTTTCGTTTGGACACCGCATAATTAATGGTATTGACAAAGGGAAGCAAAGCTCATTACGTCTTTAAGTGTATACATACTAAAAAGGTGCAAGCATGAGAGATACTACTTTGTGGCCAAGATTCGAAGGATCAGAATTAATCTTTGGGCAGCTTCAAAGTGCCTCAGTCTGAAGATCAAACCAACAGTGGCACCAATCAGCAGTGCAGGAAGCATCCTGAGCCAAGCCAATAACACTTGGCGCCCAATGGGAGGCGTAGCCGTTCGGATGATCTTGTTGCTTTGAAAGGCCAAATAGGCTTCATATCCACACCACAACCTCGTGTAGACACTTTTATGCCGGTTGGGCACCACCAACATGTATTTGGAACTCTGCAAAGCCAGCGCAAAGGGAGATGATGATGGAGACTGAAGCAAAGCACCAATATCCAGATTCTGTGGATTTGCCAGCATGCAGCACCAAGCATGATTTGCACGCCAAGGCCAGGATGTCAGCACCTTCTCAGTGAACTCAAACACATCTTCCTGCCAAGCGTGAGTGATGAACAAGTCGCAGTCAAGTCCGTCAGGATTCATCATCAACGCCCAACTCATTTTGCCAGCATCAGCCGTCACCGGCTTGATGTAGTGTTCGTTCACTGCGTAGATGCTTGGCCCATAGGAAGGCTCGAAGTTCTCCTGAAAGGTCTGGCCCTCTTGGATAGCTCTGCGGACCTCAGATTGGAAGAACTTGAGATCAGCGAAGGTGATGCACCACCTCGCTGGGTGCACCGTTTCATGCAGTTCAATGGCTCGATCCGTTGGCAGTCGCTGCGTCCCTCTCCTCCGGTCGAACGGCACGGTCAACATCTGATCATCACAGCTGTGTGGGGCACTTTTCAGAATCTCCAGTTTGGGGGTGGTCTGTCAAGTTGTATATGACATATAATATATTGTTATTTTGTTTGGTCAAAATCTATATGTATGTCTATATTGTGTTGTCTTGTTTGATTTTTGTTTGATCTTTATTGAAGGGTCATTAATTACTGTCATTGGATCTGGAGCCACTTGGCCACTTGTTGGAATAGCTTAAGCGAAGAACAACATGGGTCTCACTTGGATTTCACTTCTTTGGTCTACTCAGGGAGTCTTGTGTTCCAAGTAAATAATATATATATATATTCAAAAAAACTAGAACTTGTTTGGCGAGTGAAAAACACTCAAACCCAAAGGCCTGCTGCAAAAAGAAACAACTTTTTATAACCAATCCCTTGGCAACCAATCCGATAGTCGAAAGTGCGAGCCCTTTTTTCGTCGTCCAAGCCAATCAATACAATCATACTAGGAAATCCAACGTCTAAAGGTCTAGATTCTCCAGTCTTTCAGGATGCCAAAACCACAGGGTCCATGTTAGTTAGTTTTCGAGAGTGTACCTGGTTCTTCAAAGTGACCGTACTTGATCACCTGGTTGGTTTCGGTCACTTAAGCCTCCGAGTACGGGTGACTGGATGGAACCTTCAAAAGATCACGAACTGAAGAAGCTGGAAATATGCTTATATATACATGATGATATATGCAGTGTGTATATAACTTAAACATCTACACCCCAAAGTCTACATAATACCGTAGTTGGATATATAATGTAACATATATGTACATCCCAGAGGCGACCCTGGACCCGAACCAACTGCTACATCTTGGTTCAGTCCCGTTCACCCTGGCTGTGAGGATCAAAACCACCGCGAACTGAGGGTCCGAACTCTGAGCCTCTGGGATATATCATTTAAACCTCTTCTGTTTTTCCTCCAAAACTTCCCATGTCATGCAGGCCAGGCCGCAGTGGGAGATCCCGCTCAACGACCGGTGCGAGTCGAACAAGTCCGACGACTCACGATGATGGTGGATGTATTCTTTCTTGGAGGGGGAGTGCCGGGCGAGGTTGACGTGTCCTATGTCACTGGGCACTACTCGTCTGACCATGTCTCCCAGCTGGTTGGCATCTGCATCCACAGAACCCAAAACCCACTCCACTATCTAAACAGTCTAAACAAAATAGTTAATATATGTTAATATGAAACATCTATTTAGAAAAAACAACCCAAACACTAATTATCTAGGAACGGTGGAGGCCATCGCTACTAGGGTGAAGGCCATTGCATACTGTAGGTTCAAGGCCATTGCCTAGGCTCCACCTTCTCCCGTCCCACTCTCACCCGTCTCAGCACCCGGCCGTTGAACGCCGAACGAGCGGGTGCCGCTGAGCGAGTCGAAGGAGTCCGCCTGTGCGGCGTTGGTCGTGGCGGGAGGGTGCCGGGACAGCTGTCCAATGGCATCGTCTGGGCGTGCGTGGTATTCATATGTTATATTAACATGTAATATGTATCGATGAGTAACGCACGGTCCAACAATGCATATACTTTTATGTGATTTTAAGGGGGGGACACTGAAGGACGAAAGGAATACGGAGGGTCATGACCAGGTCTTGGAAAAGGATTCGGACCACTGGACAACGCTCCCTCAGAACTCACGACTGCTCGACATGCGGAACCACCATGCTCCTAAAAATAGTGACCGGAACAGAAGGAGTTACACTCTAAGGAACACATCACATGGTCAAGTGGCTGGCATGGCCCCTTGGAAGACTATGTTCCTTTGAAGAACAGTGGGTGCCATCCACTTCCATAAGATGTCTTCGTGGGAGCATGACTGGGGGTTAGATTAGATTGATCCCCATTCACCTGAATCACTGTGAATGGACGTGTTTCTCTTCATACTGGATGTGACTTATTAGACCTGCAACCATCTGCAACCGACTTCAAGCACCTGGGAGGTCATGGGACATGACCTCGTCCCATTTTCCGAGATACATTGAGACTCCAGGTAATTAGCATATAACTGTATAGTAATCATGTTGTGAATATATATATATATATGTTTGGCATATATATATATATTATACATAAATTCTGGTCCTGACCCTCCTCTTCCCCAAATTCGAGTGGTTCAGTGTAATTGAGTGGACACCAAAGCAACACCATCATCATCCTCAAAAAGAGGGTAGAGACAATAGGTCAACCAAAGCCGCCCTACCGATCCGTGGATTCTGGGCTCCAAGTCTGAGCCTAGATCTTCCAAGACCATTAAAAACTGGTTGACCTGTTACTGTAGTGGAAGATCCTTAATAAAACGGCTTCTTCGGGCTCTTTAGAGCCCATCCAATGGATGGTCCAGGAATCGGAGAAGCGTCCACGGAGCTTCACTGGACTGGACTTGCTACTCTGGGTCCCGAGTCCCGGCTTCTTTTTTCGACGTCAAACGGTGAAGGCCGAGCCGTCCCGCCCGTCGGGCGGGGATGCCGGACGCCGGGAGCGCCGGGACGCTTGGGTTCCGAAAGGAGGGGCCGGTTTCGGGAGCCTTTGGTTCGAGGTGAGTGTTTCGAAGGTTCTTCTTCTTCGGTGAGTGTGGACGGAAAGCTGGACCGGACGACGGAGGGCTGGACTAGAAGTAACCTAAAGCATTCGGAGCAACCCAAAGGCGTTTGGAATCAATGATCTGCGCGGAAGATGGAAGGTGACAGAAATCTATAACTGTTTGATTCGAACAGTCATTATTGCTTTAATGGTCATTTACCAAGCAACAATTGTTTTACTATGGGTTTTAAACTTTAAAGCCAAATCAACCAGTTTAACAATGGTCTTTGACTTCCGGGGATAGTGTAGCGCGTGAGACCAGGCGTATGGGAGGATCAACGCTAAATTGTTGATGCTTTGGCCTATGCACGAATGCATGAAATGCCTTTTTCAGCCGCTATCGCTCGAAGAGTTATCCTCATCATCGCATGAGCGAGTGGCAGAACAAAGCGCCCTGCAATCCACCACCCTTCGCAGAAAGAGATCTGCCAGCAGCTTGCCAAAAGGTAGTTTCAATGTCCCGAGAATGCCTTGGAGGAAAAGTGACCCCAAGAATCAAAAGACTTGACCCCAAGAATCATCCTAGGGCTCCAACCACATCTGAAGGTGGTTGGGGTGGGTTTAGAGGGTCCAGTCATACCTTCTGAGGATATGGTTGGAGCGGGGGAAACCTTTGTCAAACCTGGTGACCAACATGGACCTAGCAGGGCGATGCCTTGCCATGGGAGGGCGATGCCTTGTAAATTTGGCTTGGAAGGTCAAGCATGAACACATGATTACACTATTGAAGAAACAAGGACATGAACAAGTCCTTTGTAAAAACATTAGCATCTGCCCGCGTGCCCCAACCAAAGAAACAACATGCATGGCTGTCTTGCTGTCAGAGTGCCCAGCACAGCAAAGAACCAAACGACCAGAAAAGAGATGTGGTACAGAAAACGCAATGGCATTGCATAACTTTGTAGAAATTCCAGCTCCACAAAGCAGAAGAAGCTCGGGGCGACTGCCTTTGTCATCACGTTGAGCATGAAACAGCGTTCATCAATGGGCCGCATGAAAAGCAAAACCAAGAAGCAAAGTCTAGCACAGAGTGAGACGGCTCGTAAGGTAGCAAAGACCCAGTTAAGTTCGATCATTCGACCGTTGATGATATCTTCAGCCAAGCGCACACAAGCCAATAATAACTCAGGCCCAAGCACAAGTACTGGAATTGCCAACTGAACAACCCCAGCGTGTTGAAGCTCCACACCCTGCAGATTTGCATCTCGAAGAGCATCTGAAGTCATACCTGCCTTCAACAGAACTTGAATGACATCGTCAACTTCATCAACCTGATCGCCAATCTCGGTCCGAATGTTCGCCTCGTCCTGGACTTCGGAACATGATGCCTGACGAATAGACCCCTGGTATTGGTTGTGTAGCTGCTCTGCCTCGTGCTCTGCTACTTGCCAAGTCAGCCTGTCGATCTCAGCAATTAGGAAGTAAGCAACCAGCATACTGTTCATCAAACACTGCCTCTCAACAAAGATGAGAATTTTGGGCGGGAATTCTACAAGTGTGGCTGTTCGCATAAATCGACCGTTTAAAATAGCGACAAGGGCAGTTGCCAAGCCCACATGGTTCGCAGTCAAACAAATAGTGATCTGTCCACAGCCTTGACTAACCAAGCTCACAACAAGTGCCAGCATCTTCAGTATCAGTATCAAATACAAAGCCCTGTCAAATTCGGCCACTTTGGAAACAACAGCAGCGATGATACCTATCAGCAGCATCCGAAACCAAGAAAACAACACTTGCCCACAAATTGGGGGTGTAGCTGTCCGGACAATCTTATTGCTTTGAAATGTCAAGTAGGCTTCATATCCACACCACAACCTCGTGTAGACGCTTTTGTGCCGGTTAGGCACCACCAGCATGTATTTGGCATCTTGAAGGGCAAGTGCAAATGGAGACGATGATGGAGACTGAAGCAAAGCACCAATATCAAGATTCTGTGGATTTGCCAGCATACAACACCAAGCATGACGTGCACGCCAGGGCCAAGATGTCAGCACCTTCTCAGTGAACTCAAAGACATCTTCCTGCCAAGCGTGAGTGATGAACAAGTCACAGTCAAGCCCATCAGGATTCATCATC